AAGTCGCCAAGCTTTGTAGAGGCCAAATTGGCCTCTTAAAAGCTTGGCGTGCTCAGCAGAGCGGGCCAGTATTTCATGCCGGCACATCGCTTGCAACTTTACAAGGCCCAGGTTCGGCCTCACATGGAATACTGTTCCCATCTCTGGGAAGGGGCTCCCCATCCCCAGTGCCAGCTCCTTCCACTTGACCGCATCCAGCACAGGGCCGTTCGAATCGTCGACGACCGAGTTCTTTCCAATCGGCTTGACTCACTGGCACTGCGTAGAGATGTTGCATCTCTTTGCGTATTTTATCGCATCTATCAAAGGGAGTGCTCTGAGGAAATGTTCGGACTAATTCCAACCGCTCAATTTCACCATCGCACATCGCCACAAAACTTGCGATACCATCCATACCATCTGGATGATTGGTGGTCCACCCCTGTGCTATTTAGAAGAAGGTTTCTTCCTCGCACAACTTCCTTGTGGAATCGATAACCACCAGCGATTTTCCCGGACCGATACGACTTAGGGACCTTCAAGAAAAGAGCCTACTCCTTTTTAAAAAGCCGACTTCCCTTGGTGTTGCAGTTGTTCATGGGCGGCGGTAGTCACTTACCATCAGGTGAACCGCATGCTCGTTTGCGCCCTCTCCTATAAAAACAAAACGACACTCAGCAGCATAAAGCTATTTCACGCTTGTATTCTCTAAGAGCATAGACCTCCTGTCGAGCCAACTCATTCTTGATATAACCATAACATATCTGCAGTATAAAATATATCTACAACTTGGGACTGTCCTACATATTCAAATTTTTAGCTAACCCAACGTTCGGTGAAATGGTATACGGTGAAAACGACGTTAAAATGGCATATCACGCGAAAATTTCCACATGATGGCCGATAGCTAAATCACTGAACCCAAAATAAAGTACTTCAGCGTGTCATAACTACTGCTTGTTATTGTTATCCTTAGATTTTGCCGTAATTATTGGACCTCATGAAAATGGAATTATACAATAATTACAAGCCCTCATATTCTTGTTTTTTCAAAACCATTTAAATTCTGAAACATGGACCTAGAAAAAAGGGCGGACAGAGTCTCGCTAACAAACAATTGAGGCGTCGCAGTGACGGCAGCGTAACTATGTGTGAGCGTGTAGAGGGTTGCAAGATGAAGAAAAATTACCCATTTTTAAACGCAAAATAATTCAATTAGATTTAAGACATTCGTCATCGTCCTCGGAACCAGGACTTTAAGTTTAATAAAACAAGATTGTAATAAAACACATTGAATATAAAAATATTGATTATGAATATTTATTAATATTATAATTAATTTACATTTATTAACGGTTTTTTTAGAGTCCCTTTTGTTGGGTTAATTTTTTATAATATTGTCTTTTACTGTCAAAAGACTTAGAAATCTCCTTCAATTTAGCTATATGGTGAAAACGAATATTCAGATATTTTTCGGCTATATATTCAATGAGAGCTATTTTATGTTTTACTCTAGCAAACGCATGGTCAAGTTTTAAATTTAAAAAAATCCTGTCGTTAGCTATATATTTTTCCAGAATTTTGGTAAGCCTGTACTGATGTTGTCTTTCAGTATATATAGTTATATTATCTCTTAAATGCTTTCGGATCACTATCTCGCAAGTACAAAAATAAGGATGTATTTATTTTCAAAAAGAAAAGCAATACATCCCTTTTATGATGTATTTCTTTTCTAAAAGAAAAGAAATACATATCGGTGAAAAACATTGTAGTATAACCTATTCAACTAAAAAAGAATCATCGAAAACGTTTCGACATTGTCGGTGTAACTTAAAAAAACAAAAAACATTCAGTCGACTTGGCTCTCTTGACCTCCTTTTTTTCAAATCGATTAAAAACTTCTCTCCTTAACACGTACGTACCCCATGCGAAGCACTGGAAGTATTTGCTTCAACGAGTTGTTCCTCCGGAACGCTTGACGCCTCAAATAAAAACTAAAAAATTAATTACGTTTCAATATGTTAAGCTTATAATTGTAAGAGGAAAATAGATATTCATTGATCTTTATCTTTTTTGGGATGGCGTAAGTAACAACGCGAAGAAGTCCACCTTTTGTTCTCTATAAATCATTCTCCTCGAAATGTTTACTGCAGATTACACTAGATTTAGATGTATTCCAATTGTTTTCATTTCTACAGTCTTTTATTATTTGCACCCAGCCATTCTTCCACACATCATCTGCAGAGGGAAATCTATAAAATGTAAAATTTATAATATTGGTACTTTAGTATCATGGGACGCCAAAAGTATATACAGAGGTAAATTAATGAATTAAGGAACAATTCAAAGTGAACAAAAAGATATTAATCTCCCATATTTAAGGTAACTTGCAAATTTAATAACTGGCAACACTGATTAGTTTCGTGTTTTGATAATAATTTTTGTTTGTTAATAAAATGTTTTGATAATAAAGTTTGAAATAAATTAAAGTAAAAATGAGAAATAAGGTGAATAAATTACTTACTTACCTATGAAAAGTGATCCCCTGGCTTTTTTTAATGGAACCACTATGATTTCAACAGGTTTTCACTACAATGTTACGCGGACGCGGTTTGGAGCGTAATGGCGGGCTGTTGACTTACTATGGTGTGCATGTGTGCGTGCCGGCTTGTTTGTATTAGCGAGCTGACTTAGTATGGGTGCATCAGTAATTGTTTTAAGAGACGGCGTCCGCCCTTTTTTCTAGGTCCATGTTCTGAAAGCTAAAAAAATATTTCTTTTTTTTAAATAATAGAATTGACAAACATACTTACAGGCCACCTGAAGGTAGCCAATTACTGCAGGCCATGGACATCTGCAGCCAACTTCACATAGAGAAGGCAAATCCACGACTTTTTCTGCCACCAGGGCGGCGTCACTTAAAAGTGAGGTATAATATTTGACAGATTTCATACCGGGGAAGTTAATTTGTTCGGAAAATGTAAAGGTTTATGTTTCTTTCTGTACTATTAGCTATATTTTATATCAATAAGATTAAAAATGAATAAATCAAAACCACAGATATACATAAGAGTTGTTTTTTTTTAAAATGCGCAAATAATTAAAGAGGAAACCACTGAGGCATTGTTTTGTGTATTAATATAATACTTTACAAACTGATAAACTTTTATTAAAAACTAACTTCTCAATTAAATGATATTGTGTAACAAAAAAAACTTTACCTCAGCGTCAACTAGCGACATCTAGTGAGCAGAAAATTATTAGCCCTCATTGCGTTCACATCTGTTCGCTAAGATAAAATGTCTCAGAGCCTGTAATTATGCTAACCATATACCATTCGTACCGAAACAGCAATATCAGCACGGTTATTTGGTGGCAGAAATAAGTAAGTGGGTGATAACTACCCAGACTCCTCGGCAGAGAAGAAGTAGAAGCACCTAGTAAACATAAGTAGTCGGAAGCGGAAGTCAGTTTAGTAATCAAAAGTGGATCTTAATACCTACTTCTGACTATTAATATAATCTAGATTGGTGGATAATATCAATTATTCCGGCATGAATGAGGCAACCTTTGGATTGTGTGATGCGTCCCTAAATTCGGGCTACAGGAATGGCGTGACGGAAGGCATGTGCAGGGCAGTTGCAAGTGCCGCGAAAATACATAATTTATAGACAGTATCTGTGTCAGCTCGTAGAAGTCCACTGTTAAACATGGTCCTCTTCCTGTACATGGGTTTTAGGGAGGATTTGCCATAATCATCACGCTTGGCATATTACCTATCGTCGTACCAGACGTCTCGATAATATTGCTGGTCTGGATATTTAACACCTGTTGTTAGCACTCCCTCAAGCTACCAGATAAGGTTGCAGGATAGTACAAAAATCCCAGGATAAGTGCCAAACTGTTTATATTATTGTACATTAATTTTATGTATAGCAAGTAAAACAATTAGAAGCGGTGTACTGTCGCTTGGGCGATTTCTAGCTATCTGGCCGATCGTAGGGTCGTAGGTCCGAGGTCCGAGTGACGAGGCGCTTGACGTCATGCATGGAACCGGTTGCAATAGCTGGCGGTAATACCTGTCATAAAGAATAGGATAAAACGTCATCTATCGGAATCCATAAGTTCTTTCTGACATTTTCTATAGTTGCCTCTTACGACACTACAATGGCGGACATAATGGTGATTAAAAGGACCATCTGAATGGCCATCCAGCGCTGATGGCACAGAGTACCTTTGTATAAACTGGTTTTTTTTTTGGCGTCAGCATCAGCTGAGTTAGGTCCGTTTGCCTAACGCACCACAACACATGACGAACGTATTTTTATTTTTATTTATAATTATGAATACTGTTGGTAATGATAAATATATGTTCAAGTTGTTGTTTTTTAATGTTGTTACACCTATTTATGAGGGCTAATAAGCTTACGCTCACTAGATGGCGCTAGTTAGAACCGAGTTGCAAACTTGTTTAACAAACTTGTTTGTTATGCAGATTTTAGCTTCATGTTGCAGACACAGTGTCATCATTATTAAAAAGTTGCGATTTAATAGTAAGTTTTTCGGTTTCTAGTATATAAATATACACAAAACAATGCCTGAGTGCTGGGTTTTTTTATTTTTTTTACACATATTTACCTAATTTTTATTAATTTTATTTTAGGAATATCCCTACCTAGTTTGATTTAGTATAAATCTAATTAATATAAAATGTTATTAATATTTCAGAAAGAAACATTAATTTCTAAAATTTTCTAACTAATTAAAAATATTATGTCGAATCTTTCACCTCATTTCCAAGTGGCGCCGCCCTGTTGGCAGTAAATGTCATGGATGCTCATGGATCACTGATGCGTTTACAAATATTTAAAAAGTGCCTCATTATGTGAGTGACGTGTTTGCAATACTAAAAAATGTTTCTCTCTTTCCATGTCCTGATACGATACTAGTATCTACATCCAGGACTTGAAAGTATAACTTGTAACGTCGTAACATATTCACGTATTAATTTATTTTACCAGGCAACTGCTGTGCTGATTGTCGTGATCATAATCCAGGTGATTATCCTCGCCGTGTCGGTGAAAGTGACCACGGAGGACGAGGTGGGTCTCGGCCGCTCCCTCTCTGAATCCTTCAAGCTTGCAAGGGACGACAGCCCGAGACATGTAAAAATTTGGGCCAGGACTCAACACGATGTAAGTTTTTATGCTATTAAATAAGTTTCACTTAAGTGGCAATCGGCCAGACATTTATCCCGAAGAACCGGTAACTATTAGGGAGGAAAGGTTCTCGAACGGCAGCTCGTACCAGTAAATGAATTGTAGGGAGTATCTATTCTCGATTATAATCAAAATATATATAATATCTCATGAGATTCACGACCTGATGAAACATTCAAGGACTTAATAAATGCAGTTGGATCAGGAGTGTGTTAGCGGGCGTTCCTTGGAGGTCTTCTTCGTAACTGGCTACGTAAAAGTAAAAAATAATCCTTCCTCGTAACTGGTTATGAAACTTGAGTAACATTGGCAGCTATAGGGGTTTCAGCAATGGATTTTTACGAGGTGACGATGAAGAAGTCGAAGAATAATATACTATTTATATTTATGTATCTAAATTATTGTAAAAACAGCAGTTTGTGAAAAACACCAGGGATATGGTATATAAGACAAAAAAAAGAACTTATAATTACCGTTCAATGAAAGATGCATACGTGGAATGGATTAGTTGTAAATCATACGTCATACTACTATTGTATTATATCTGCATCACGAAAACGAGTCCCGGAAACTCTTCGTATTTGTAAACACGCATTTTAATCCTCAGAGGTAATAACGCATCTCCATTTTTATTATTTATCGAGGAAAGATATTGGTGTTCGTAGGTCACAGCATCCATTTACAATCAGGTGTACTGTGTCGCTTGTCACCCTCAATTCTATAAAGATATAACACCCTATTTTACCCCATCGGGAATTAAAATCTTCCAAAGTCCTTTCTTAGTGGGTGTCTACGTTGAGAAAGGAGTATATATGCCAATTCAGGCCAATCGAGCGTATAGTTTTGGAGATCTCGTGATGGGTAAGTGAATCAGTGATATTTCGCATTTATATGTTCTTAACTTTATTTCTTATCCACCAGCTCAAATGCTGCGGGGTGTACACAGCGGAGGACTACCGCTCATCAAACCTTCCCGCCTACTTCGCACCTAACATTCCGATCTCCTGCTGTCCCGCTTATGACCCGGAGAGGTCAGAGCTTGTGCAGGAGAGGGAAAGGGAAACATGCAAAGCCAGGAAGCTGTTCTACGACATAGGCTGCCGTAACCTGATCATCGACGTGTTTAAAGAGACGTCTAAGACGGTGATGGGAGTGTCCTTACTTGCTGTTGTATTAGAGGTGAGGAAATAGGAGTTCTTTAATACTTTTAAGAAAATTGTTTCATCGTTGCGCACGCGAAAGCATTGCCCCATTTCGTCTCGCGCAGACGACTATGCAATTATGGGATAAGTGAGAAAGATCTTATAGCTTTTAGATGGTAATTTTACCATCCCGTTTACGTCAGAAGTACCCCCACAACAGAGTATTACCCCTAGTATTTACTTCTGACGTAAGGATGGGGAGCAGCTTCTAAGATACGAAACGTTTTGATCTAAGGTCGTTATTCTTTAAAAGGGTACTTCAAGCAAACTTTTGAGACTTTGTCTCCAACGGGAGAGGGCCAAGTCCACCAATAAATTTTTTTGGGTTGGTAAATAAGTTTTTTTTTATAGAATAAGGGAGACAAACGAGCACACAGTCCACCTGATGGTAAGTGGATGCTGTGGCCCATAGACATCTACATTTATCCTCAATTAAGAATCAAAATGTAGATGCGCTGTCACCTCTGAGAACTGAGATGGAGTGCCTCGTTTCAAGTAAAAAGAGTCTCCGGTTCTCTATACTCACCATACGAAACACAGCAGCATTAAGCTGCTATTTTACGCTCGTATTCTGTGAGAGCGTGGTCCTACCCCGGTCCAGTCGAGGCATTCGTGCTGCAACCACAATATAGCTGCAGCATGGCTCTACCACGTAAAAAAGAAAAATTTCAAAAGATCATAGAAGTATAATAATCTATAGGTTCTATACTATAATAAATCTCTAACACGACGTGCATTTCTGTACATTTAATTTTATTTTGAATTATTATTATTGAAGTCTGAGAGTGAGTCTAAGAGTGTCTGTAATATCGAAATAAAAATAATTTTATCACGTGGTAAAGCCATGCTGCAGCTATATTAATAGTATAGTTGTAGTACGAATGGGTCGGCTCGACCGGGGAAGGACCACGCTCTCACAGAATACCAGCGTAAAACAGCAGCTTAATGCTGCTGTGTTTCGTATGGTGAGTGTAGAGAACCGGAGACCCTTTTAACTGGAAAAGAGACATTTTATCTTAGTCCTCACGGGTGACGACGCATCTGCATTTTAATTCGCAAACGAAGATAGATGTAGATGTCTATGGGCCGCAGAAACCACTTACCATCAGGTGGACTGAGTGCTCGTTTGTCACCCTTATTCTATTAAAACAAACTGTCTTATATTGAGCTAAAGGGCATGCATGCCATTAAAACATGAACAACTATTTTTTTTAATTATCTGTCTGTCTGCCTGTCCGGGCGAATCTTCAAATTGACTGAACCAGATTGTACTGAAACTTTACGAAGAGATAGAGAGTAATGCCAGGAGTAACCTAGGCTATATTTTATCAGAAAACATTGAAGATTGTTAGAAAACTCGAAAAACTGACAAAATAAATGGTTGGTAATTGCGCTTTAAGTGACTTCACAATTGAAATCATATTCACACAATGAATTAGTTTTCTTGAGACAATGGTTCAAAGTTATGTTAGGAAACGATAGGTGATAGAAGACAAGTAAAAAAAAACTCCAAGTTCATGGACTAAAACGACTCTTATTTACAATATCTGTTGTTTTAGTGTCAAAAAGGAAAATAACAAAATCTGGTCTCGATACGCGGCGCTGTCATTGAGTAATTTATAAATAATTTAACGCTTTACAAAGTCAAAGTAGTCAAGTAAATTTTTATGTTAAGGCTTTATAAAGTAATATTCTTGCTGGCCTGGCAGCACGTAGAAGAATAGGTATATTTTATCTATTTTAAGCCAGGGCTTGAATAATTTACAACCTGATGGTAAACGGGGAGTTAGTTGGAGACATCGATCGTTTTTTATTAGTGATCGATGGTTGGAGATGATAAATCGCACATTCTTATCTTAAAAATCCATATTCAGTTTTAGCTCTAAGATACTCATGTTGTAATCAAAAATCGTGCAGTGGGTGCGTTAGTAGCGTGCGTAAGTATCCACTTCGACATATTATTATCCCGTCGGTGTGTAAAAAGGCAAAAGAGGAAAATGTAATTTAATAAAACAAGTTGTACAATTAAAAAAAAATTGTACAACCAACTTCAATTTAAATTAAAAAAAACTACTAGTCAGACCTTGATCAAATTTATATGGGACCACATGAGAAGCACCAGCTTTCAAATAAAAAAATAATCATTAAAATCAAAAACGATCGGGTAGTTACTGTTCAGAGTAACCGACTAACGAGCGTTGTGATTTTAAAATTAATGTTTTGTTGAGAGTACTTATTTGAACTGCATTAACCGGCAGTTAACACGGTTCAAATATGGACAAAACAAAGGTTATGTTTAACGTCCATCTCACACCTATGCCGGTAGTTGTTGGGAGCACTACACTCGAAGTTGTTGACGAGTATGTTTACCTCGAACAAATAGTCCGACTAGGTAAGTCCAACTTCAACAGAGAGATCAATCGACACATCTTCTCGTCAGGTATACCTCAAAATTTGAAAACGCGATTGTACAACCAGTGCGTTTTGCCAATGACTTATGGATAAGGCACGTGGTCTTTCACAGCTGGCCGTATGAGGAAGCTCAAGGTCGCTCTACTACGATAACCTTAGAAATGAGGATACCTGCAGTAGATCCAGAGTGACCAACATAGCCCAATCGTTTTATAATATACAACATTTTTATTCCACAGTTAATTATCTCCGTAACGGCCCACATCTATTGCTGAACATAATTCACTACAAAGATTGTCAAAACCCCGATCCTGAGACACCTGCATTAAAAACACTGCATTGTTAGGTCACCACTACATCTAATGAAGTGCCTTTATCGTAACTATATTTTATCGTAGGTATCCTCACGAATACTTTTCGATGCGGGGACGACGGAAAGGTTATGCCAGAATCTTACTATCTAAAACCCCACGGCGGTCACAGCGTATACGAGAGATCCCGGGGTCTCCGATCGGAACGCAACCGGCAGTAGCGTATCCCTGGCATATAGTGTATGATCTATGGTAGCGTAGCTAGGCGTGGGCGAAGTGGGGCCTCGCACTTAGGCCTCGCGAGTCTCCATAAAATATAAAAAAAAGTCACAAATTTAAAAGCGTGTTTGCTTGGGGCCGTTAGATTGACAGTATACGAGACTTGTCAGGAATTAATAGCTATGAGTAGGTATGTCCTGTCCAAGCTTGTTTGGTAGGATAGGATAGATCTATTGGGAAGATCTTGGGAACGAAAGAAAAGGTGATGCGACTTCGCCCACGTCAATATTAGTCCACGTCCCGGTGTCAGTGTTTATTGCCCCAGCGTTTACTGCCCCAGCACTTTCGCAGTGCTATCATGGTGTTTAGAGACCACTTCCGAGTCACGGTTCTCCTCAGGGAATCTAATGAAGGGCCATTCTACACCACGTTTGAGGATAAGGAATAAATGGCTCTCACTTGAGAATCTTTCTCCCAACCGGTTGTTCTCGAGCACTATAGGACCTGCCTAATGCCTGTATAGCCTACTGATGACGTGGTCCTTCGTTGCTGGCAAATTTATTTTATAAAAACACAATAGAAACATTTAATCGAAGTCATTAATTTTATCTTTTGTTACAGATAATCACCATTTTGATTGGAATAATTTTAGAAACGAAAAAACCAGAGCCAAAGAACAACGAATATGATACCGACGGCATAGAAGCAGTACCGACAACACCAGCAGTAATGGCGGTGACGGATATGAAAACGAAACCGATATTATAAGAAGACCTGATCTTTAGCAAAAATAACCGATAATTAGAAAGAATATAGTGTTATAAATATTCAATAGATGGAACTATTCTTAATATCTCAATTGGAGTGAGATTAGCATAATTTATATTGAAAATAGTAAAAAGGGCGATATTATAGAGGTCATTAAATTATTTTTATTACATTTTTAAAGAAATTAAAGCTCTTTGCCTTTCTGCTTTCCCATAACTTTCAGGAGAAAATTAATTGTATTATTGAGATCTCACCCCAAAATTTATTAACGACTGGTTTGTTGTAAAGGTTTACGTTATGTTATATATTTATTTAAGACTTATTTCTTACAAATCGCTGCTATAACAACTCTGAAGTAAAAGCTAATGAGACATGATTTTGTTTTATTTACCTTTTTAAATTTTAATTACAGAAAGCGTCATCTATAAGCTACTCTAAAAAGCATGTGCTTTCATGAGTACTTAACTTTCATGAGATATTTAGTTCAATCACTAGATGGCAGTAAAGCAAGATATTAAAAATATTATAGTATAAAAATATAACAGCCGGCCTGCTCCCTACAAGATTGAGTTCTGAATCAATCGAATTTTATCCGAACTCAAGGAAGTAATGTATTCCTAGTAAACAATCAAATGCTGGTTCAAATTGGAATTATCAGAACGGAATCTTCTTCTAATTGGCGCTAGATGGCGCTTGTAATCGCCAGCAAAGAACAACTTATCTTGATAAATTTGTCGTATTTATGTTATAAAAATAATATTTAATTTATTAAAAATGTTTTCACATATAAAATATCTGGATTTGCCTAAATATTTTTGATCGTAATTCGAACATGTTTCTTGATTTGAATTGTTTTGGGATAAGCATAAGCTTTTAAGATTTCGAATAAACGTACTTTTTACGGATTTTATTGCGTTCAACTTAACTTTTTAGTTTTCGACATTCCGGGATTTTCATAAAAAGTAATAACAATGAATATTTAAATGATAAAAAACAATATTCAAAGTAAGATATATACCTAAATTTTATATGTTACAAATAAGCATCGGTGGTTCAGTGGTAGAATGCTCGCCTGCCACGCGGGCGGCCCGGGTTCGATTCCCGGCCGATGCAATTCTTTTTGGTTCTAAATTTTTCTTTATCAAGGAGAAAAGCATCGGTGGTTCAGTGGTAGAATGCTCGCCTGCCCCGCGGGCGGCCCGGGTTCGATTCCCGGCCGATGCAATTCTTTTTGGTTCTAAATTTTTCTTTATCAAGGAGAAAAGCATCGGTGGTTCAGTGGTAGAATGCTCGCCTGCCCCGCGGGCGGCCCGGGTTCGATTCCCGGCCGATGCAATTCTTTTTGGTTCTAAATTTTTCTTTATCAAGGAGAATAATTTAATTATGACATAGGATGCACAAAATTTTTGATTTATAATGTTTGCAAGACAATATAATGTTTGCTTTTTGTATATTATACATATTATACAAGTAAGCTAAAACTTACATTAGTGCAATTTGTACATAATTTATATATTATTTCATTATATTATTTATATTAAAAACTATAATAATAATAAAAAGAAAACTAAAACTAGAAACTTAATTATCATATAGTCCTACTCCCCGCGGTATCGTGCCAAGAACGCTGGCTGCGTTTCTACGCTGAATGGCTATACTTAGCCTTTGAGCGAGAAAAGAACCAGCCCTCTTATCACCAGCAGCAACGACCAACCGCGGATGGAGTTCCTTTAAGAACTCCACCGCACGTGGACCCAACGGACCGATAGTCTCTACAGCAAATGGCACAAATATGTAGTCATCTCTCAGAGACTCATATTTGCGCCACATACTCAGTTCAGCTGCCTCTGATGCCGCCCCGGCTCTAAACGACGTACCCCTGAGATGAGAGGCCGCCAGAGTGTCTACGCAAGTAGCATCCCACACGAGGGCTTTACCTCTCTCCCAAGGTACCAATGTCATACCGTCGGGTCTCCTGTCATCGTCTCTAAATATTTCACAAGGCTCTAAAACCGAGGCAACATTTATAAAGACAAGAGCCCTTCGGATGGCATCGTTCAAAGAACTATGTTGTGAAAACCTACCAGCGCTTTTCTTACATGAAAGTCCGTGGAGCCCAAACTTGTCGACGCTGCTACAGCAGGGGCACTCATGGGGTTGACAAAGCGCCACTCCTAGTTGGATTCCTATGGTAATACGCAAGCTTTCCCCATCAAGTAATGTGCCGAGATTACTTGATGGTAAAGCGTGTAACCAGTGACTAGATTCCTTAGTCGAAACAACTAGAAGGCGTGCCTTATCTTGGTCACTATGGAAATTATGAAACAAATCTTTCTGCACGCCCCGTACTAACGGAATATCCCACTGTTTTTGTTGGTTAACTTCCAGTGGAACATTTTCACCGGGACAGAGCGTTTGCCATGTCTGCCCTGCCTCCGTAGCAAAGCATAGGTCTACTTTATTATTTAAAATTATGTTACATAAGTCACTGACACTATGCACGGAAGCAAGGAAAGCAGGCAATGCAACGCTAGAAAGATTTCTCACAACAATGCCACCACATTTTATAGGTAAAGTAGCTTGAGTCCAGGCTGTTGTATTGAGTTTTGTATAGAGTTTTTTGAATTTGAATTTAAGCGAGTTGAGTAATGTTTAGCCTCGCTATAGCTCGTCGTCGCTCACTTATCTGGCCGAGTGCAGGCGAGCGCCAACGTGTATACGGTTCGCTTGGCGTGCAAATCAAATGAGCTCTTGCCTGCACTAGCCGAGTGCACATGTTGGTCGGCCATGTCCGTATGTACACTCTTTCAAACGTGACCAACATGTAGACTGTAGCACTCGCCTTGTATTAATTTGCCTACGCTTGCGTGGACTGAGACTTGGCCAACGTGTATTACCGACTTTAAAAAGAAAAAGGAAAGAATATCACACGAAGAACATGCTCGTATAGTTGAAAGGCTATCCGTTCGACGGAAGTAAAATATATTAGACACGTCTAAGTTACAAGTTTTTTATACATTTCTTTATAGGCGTACAACAGATCAACGATTTTTTTTACGGTGATCGCTGCCAGCTTTCATCCCTGCGATCACAGTCGTCACAATGAAGTCAATGTCATTTTTTGTTAAACCGTCGGGGCTCGACCAGGTTCACTTTCTTTGTAGAAAAAGTGTCTCTTTCTCCATGATGTGTGGGTGTTCTCAGGGTGCGTGCGTTGTATGTTGCCAGGTCGAGTCGACTTGGGTGGCAACCAAATCTCCACCGGAAATTCTTAACACCCCCTGCCCCGCCGTTACCATGGTCGACACCGTAGCCAAGAATAGTGGGGCCGCCGGGGACTGGGGGCCGCCTATTTGAAACTCTCCCCATGGGGCGTATATTGTCATAGTTGCCTCAATTGGCGAGCGGGTTAGCGACCGCAGTTTTTTTATTGTTATTTTGCTTTTATCGGGAAGATGTTGCTGCCCATCTCCTCAGTCTCCGTCTGTCGCCTCTTACGACACCCACGGGAAAATAAGGCGACATCTACGAGTATATAGCTGCAGCATAGTTTACAATGTATAAACGTCCCCGTACTCAGTCTGATGGTGTGGCTCTGGATGATGTGATCCAAAGAGAAGATATAGGTGACACCTATCCTCGGTTAACAATCAATATGTATACGCATTTGTTAAAGGGGAGGGAATAAGAAGAAATGCCTCATTATCACTAAAAAAAGTGGTTATTATTACCTACCATATGACACGTAGTATCTTTATTCCGGTATACCTACGCTCTACATTCATAATAATCATTCCATCATTTCAATCAGCCCGTGTCAGTCCACAGCTGATCATAGGTCTCCCCACAGATTACCTATTAGGGGGGGGGGGGATTAGCCTCGTTTTGCAGACGGGTTATCAACCGCAGTTTTTATATTCTGGTTAGGACATCCATCCATGACAGCCTATAAAAATCCACTGCTGATATAGGACTCCCTCATGGATTATCTCGTGGCGGGACTTTGCCATAGTTGCCACGCGTGGAAACGGGTTTGCCATGGTTTTTTAATATTTTAAATTGTTATCGGGACGATGCTGCTGCAAATCTACTGTTTCATTTTCCCTCTGTCCCGTCTCGCAACACCCTCGGGATGATAAGGGGTAATGGATATTCTTAAACCGCCACCACACGATTGTGCTTGACACTACTGCTTATCTCCGAGTTTGTTTTCTTCTATCGTCTTTAACGATATATCCATGAGAGTTAACTACACGGTAAATACGCTTCATATATTTTCTAGTGTGATTTTTCCTAATCGAAACAACCCAATCTTGCTGCAATCATAACACACTGTACCCATGGCTCTATGACCTAAATTAACTCCTCACAGATCTTTTAGATATAGAATAGTATAGTTGTAGTACGAATGGGTCGGCTCGACCGGGTAAGGACCACGCTTTCACAGAATACCAGCGTCAAATAGCAGCATAATGCTGCTGTGTTTCGTATGGTGAGTGTAGAGAACCGGAGACCATTTTTACTGGAAAAGAGGCATTCTATTTTAGTCCTCACGGGTGACAACGCATCTGCATTTTGATTCGCAAACATGGATAAATGTAGACGTCTATGGGCCACAACAACCACTTACCATCAGGTGGACTGTGTGCTCGTTTGTCACCCTATCCTATAAAAAAAAAGATCCTAGAAATGAACTAATAAAGTTAAATAGGTTAGTTTCAGAATTGTTGGAGCCTTTATCGAACGTAATTCATTTATTGCTTTGAATGCGTTTTACAACATTAAATTACAAATCGTAGAAAGTTAATTACAGTTGATAAGCACTAATTAAGGGACTAGCTTTAAGAGCTTATAAAACTAAATTAGTCTGCTAGTGAGTAATGACGTTAATTAGACAATCAGAAGCCGTTTTTTCTCCAGAGCCTTTGAAATTATGTTAAAAAAATTATAATTGAGATGATTTTGAAAATTTTGTGGTTTCCAAATATTATCTTCATATT